TGTAAAGGTTTGCTTTTCACAAAATATAACCTCCATCTATTCCTGACATTAATTAACTAATACAAAGTTAAATTGTTATATCCTCAATGCTATAGACAGATTTCTATGTTATGTTTTTGTTTGTCACTTTCTGTATGCGGTTGTTTTTTCAGGAGTTTGGCTCCGTAGTTTCATTGAAAGGAACTTAAACATTCAGCATACCAAGATGTGTAGGACAATTTAATTCAACCAACTTTAATGAAACATTGTGTCCCTTGCTGTTCCAGGGAGGAACTACATACAATCTTCATGATAGTTGGGATGATTTAGAGAGAGTGCAAGTGCAAGCTAGATCTTAACGTCCCACATCAGTGCCTGACCCCACAAATAGACAAATAGCCAAAAATTCCCCTAAGCACATTCAGAGGAACTGAAGCTGCTCAAGCTGCAAAGGACAGGCTGACATCATATGAAACCCTCTGGATTAACGATGGGAGGTGACTGAAAAGCCAAAACATCTGGAAATGAGTGCATATAGATGACAGACATTGCATTAAAACAGAAAAGAGTTTTGAAGACTATATGTCTGTGCTGTATATGTTTGCTTTCACATTCAGGAAAACATTGTCCTAAAGTGTCTTGGTATAATTTACATCCTGTTTTTAAATGCTAAACTCATTTATGTTCTGTCAGCATAGCGAAGTTTGTTAGATACACAGCCTGTACTTTGTTGTGCTGTTCATTTGTCAGAATATAAAGAATTATTCCTTTAAGCGCAGCAATTAACACACAAAATAAAGAAAAATATTGGAATATAGGTTTGGTGTGAGCGGGTAAAATACTGACGTTTGAATTTTTTCACACATGTGTTTAAAGGTAACTGAGATATTTGTCAGCACACATTCTTCATGAACTTTAGAGGAATGTAGTGCTGAGGTGAAAGAGTTCCTGCATGATGTTAAATGTTCCTGCAGTGCAGTCCGGGACGCCTTCTCGTCAGTGTTTGCAGTGAAAAGAAAAAAAAAAACAGAAATCATGAATTTCCATCGTGTGAGCAAGTTTCGACTGAAATGAGCAGGCGTCAGCTTTGACTCATTCATACTGCTGTGCTTAAATGCACTGATCCCAGTTCTCCTCGTCTGGATTTAGCCGTCAAAGGGTGGCCTGGGATCATCGCCGGGACAGAGGAGATGAACTCTATTTAAGAGTAACATGAAAGAAACTGAGATGAGGCTAAAACTCAGTCAGCTGCTGCTTTGAAGTTGCCACTGAGAAGCACCACTGGAAAAGATTTTGCAGCATTTTCCTCCACAGGCAGAAATTACATTGTTGCTTGGCTGTTGTGCATGTGTGTGTGTTTGTGTGCGCGCGTGTGTGTGTGTGTGTGTGTGTGTGTGTGTATGAGATTATAACCCACAGCTGGCCTCTCTGATTACTGACTGCCTGGTCAGCCTGGATTAGACTCACACACAGGACCGAAGGCAAAGGTAAATGCACACATTTCACTTCACTTTAATCCTGAATGCTCTGCTCACCGAGAGTCTTTGTTTAAATCTTACTTTGTGCGCAGCAGTGTGTTTCAGCTCCTGTATTTACCTCTGCGGCTGTGTGTGCGCATACTTGCGTGTGTGTGTGGGGGTGGGTGTGTGTGTGTGTGTGTGTGTAATTCTCTGCTTAGTGTAGCAGTTATATTTAATCCTTCCTCTGCTGAAGCTGATGTCAGCATCAGCTGGCTCTGAGATGGTCTGTGTGTGTGTGTGTGGGTGTGTGTGTGTGTGCGTGGGTGTGTGTGTACAGGTAAGAGCATAGGTGTAGCTAATTCATCACTGTGTCAGATTAACCAGCATCTGCAGAGTTTCTCTAAATGCTAACGACCAGCTGGAATACCTGCATGATAAAAATAACTGAAGAACTGAACTAAATATGATGTTTCAACTTCATCAGACATTATTCTGTGTTTTCATGTGTGAGTCGAAACGTTTAAGTTTTAAAAATATTGATTCACGGAGCGGTGAAGGGAAGTTTAAGCTTGCGGACACAACGGAACGTTATTGGATAAAATGACTTCGTAGCCTCCTGAATGCTCGATTTTGGGTTTTATTATTTATTCTGAGGTTAAATCAATCTGTGAAGCATTCAAGTCTAAGGTTATGAAATCATATTGATTTAACTGTCATTTGTTTCTTCAAGGTTCACTTTTGTTGCGCCACTATTAACATAACAATGAAAACGCCTCGCTGGGATTTTTTTTTTAATTTTGATCTGCTGAGAACTTCGGCTGACTCCTGTTTCTTAAAAATAAAAATACTTTTTTCTACTTCCTGGGTAAGTGGAATTTAATTTAATGTGCAGTGAAAAAAATCATGCAGGTTATGAGACAACTGAAGCAATTCCATCTTTTATACTAAATAATAAACCATCTCATATCAGCTTTTGTATATATAGAATTAATCTTCAGAAGATTAAAAACAATTGTTAAAAGATTTTGATGAGTCAAACGAAGCTTCACAGTAAAAATGCCAGTGTTGAATTAACACCCAAAAGTGTCTATGTGTGTCCAAGTCAGCTGGTGTTAAATTCAACAATACAGAGTGTCACATTAACATTACAACGGTGCTGGTGTTAAAATATATTAAAAGTAACACCAGTGTAGTGTTGATCACAAAACATAATGTGGTGTTAAAAAAGTAAATAATTGACCCACAAGGTGTCAATATCAATCAAATCCAGTGGAAAATATTCAAAACAATACACAGAAATGGAAAGTTTAGCTTTTCTTAAACCCATTTCAGTATTATAGACCAATGTTAATTTAACAAAAAATGGGTGTCGATCTTTTAACACTTTCAAAAGTGTTACTTTAACACCTGCTGACTTGGTCACTTTTAGACACTTTTGGGTGTTAATTCAACACTGGCATTTTTACTGTGTTCATTACAAACACTACAGGATTTCAATTTGACACCCAAAGACACCAATGTTACTGGGAGACTAGATCAAATGCTACTGATAAGTAAATACTTCAGAGTTAACTTGGACTTTCCTGAAGCTTCTTCCTCCTTTTGTGCTTCTTCTAACTTGATTTTCATCTGTTCTGCGGTTGCAGAAGAGATCCGATTGGCCTTTCAAGCACGTTTTGTTTGCAGATGAAATGCTTGCAGATGATTGCTTTTTTTTCTTTCTTCCTTACAACATAAGAATCCTGAAAATATCCCTGGGACATCAGGAGCAAGAGCAGCACAAATCTCTTCAGAAAACGAATATATTTCTGTCTTGTGTTCCGATGTGCCTAGAAATTCAGCCTTGCTGCTCGAGCTCCAGCGTGACTTTACTCGATTAGATGCTTTGAAATCCGGCCATTCTTCCTGACGAAGCCGTTATACTTCGCACATCCACACAATTATCAGGCGTTAGTTTCATGGAGTGCACACTCAGCGTTTCTTTTTCTAACCTTGGGAACTTCTCCACTGATTTTACTTTTTTTTTAATTTTTTTAAATTATTTTTACTTGTGATGTACTTATTTTTGAATATGCTGATCTATTGAAACATACTCTGTCAGTGTAATAGGAACATCTACGCTCCTACAGGGAGTCGACGTTGTCCTGGGATGTGGGAACCTGGGCACCTCCTACTTCTTTTTACTTTACTTTCACTGCGCTAACAGAACTGCTGAATAGCCCTAATGTTTGCTGTTGTTGCTATTGCTACACAATAGAGAGAGAGAAAAAAAAGAAAAACATTGTGCTTCCTCCTGGATATGCTTTATTTTTACTGTTTGCAACAAAGCCTGGAATGGAGAGTCAGTGGAAGTCTGTTGAGATTGATTTGTGAGATCAATCACTGTATAATTAAAGTATCTTAACCAATCAGCTTACGGGTTATTTTAAGCTTGGCAAACGATAAGCCTCTCATTTCCTGCAAAGGAGACAAAAAAAAAGTTTCCAGAACAACTACTAAGTTTACTTCTCTGCCATTCACACTGCCTGCAGACAACCAGTCTGTCTTTAGGCTGGATTTTGAGGCTCTGCAGCAGCTTTGGATACTGAAACCCCAACAGGCCAATTTACAAACGCAATTGCACGAGCGTAATATTTACCACCAGGGTTTGTATGCATTTCTACTCTTTCTCAAATGAGTGGCTTTTGAGTGAGCCAGTTCAATCATGTGATTGCTTTCTTGAAAAATAAACAGCAAACAAAACTTGGAAATTGTAGAACAATTCGTTTGCAACATGTAAAGGTTAATAAACCACCAGAGAATTACTTTCTAACATGTATCCGTGACACAGTCGTGTTGAAGGTGAGTGGAGGCCGTGCGTTTTTAAATGAAAATAACCGAATGTGAGCAAGATAACGATTTGTAAGAACTATAATTTAAAATTTGCTGGGAAAGGGCTTTGGACCCGTTGAGAACTGCTTGCGGTATTTTAAAATTACCTTCTGATCAAATGGGAGGAAGTATGTGTGTGTGTCCGTCAGCGGTCATGTGACCTGGCACAGTTGATGGGACGACAGATGGACAGAGTCACGGACTGACCAACACACACGAGGACACACAAATACCCACATGCACATATGTCCACATATGTCACCCTTCGTCTGTCCTCTTACTCATTACTTCATCACTCTCACTTTGAGGGTTTGTTGCATCCGGTGTCATTCAGTCCGCACTCCCGTCTGTCCTTCTGTCTGCGGATTAGCCGTCCGCTCTGTCTCAAAGAGAGCCTTCATTTAGTGCTGGTTGGTGTCACCTTCACCCTCATGCTGTCTTCAGCGGTGGTGTGTCAGATGTCACTGTTGCAAATCTGTCAGCATTGTTTCGTTGTTGCTGTTTTTGTTTTTACCCAATTTATTCTTCATCAGCACATGGAAGGACTTGAGATTGAAGTGTTGACTTTTCTGTCAGGATGACAGCTGTTTCTCTACCCTTCATGGATCCGAGCTTAAACATTACCAAACAAAGAAGCGGTTTTGTTACAGATTTATATATTTTTTGCCATTTCTCCTGTTTTTTTCGTAGTGATGAAGACGCCACTGAGCCCGTCTCTGCTTCTGGAGAGCAGGCAGATCTTTGCCTTTGGAGGGATGGGTCAGGAGCTAATGGACACGCCCACACCTTCAGCCCTCCCTCCCCCCGTCCAGCAGACTCCATCCCCAGGTGATAGTTGTGATCCAGGATTAATAGTGCGTTAAATCTCCTGGTACCTCTCCTGCAGCTACACTCACCCCCCTCCGACTCCTCCTCCACCTGTCTCCCCCCTGCTGTTTTCCTGCAGGCCAGGGCGGGACGTACTCGTTGTGTGAGGTGTGTAATCTGCAGCTGACCTCCGCTGCTCAGGCCCAGCTGCACTACAACGGCAGGTCTCACCTCCGGAGGGTGAAGCAGCTCCAGGCGGGGCAGACACGACAACAGGCAGCAGGTGGGGTTAGCGCTGCTGGCTGAATTAAGCAGGAACCTCCAGAGTAATCTCCACGTGGGAATGTTGTTGTCAGCTCTGGCGTCAATAGCAACCTATCATTTGAATATCACTTGTCAGCTTTTTGTGAGCTCTAGTGGATGTTATTGTCTTTGATTCCAGCTGGAGCTCAAACCAGGTCGCTTCCTCCGGCCGCAGGGTTCAGCTCCCAGCCTGCAGGACTGACTCAGACCGCCGGACTGAATCGAGCCCTCACTGCTTCCAGCACGACTGCAGGTAGGACAGAAGTGGCTCGTTCTTCTGCTACGTCTAGCATGCTGCGCTTATTGTAACTGTTGATTGATTGATCGATTGATCGGGAAACAAAACTAACCACATTTTTTGCTTCCATTGGTTTTTAAAAGGAAAGTAGCATTCAGAGGGTGCTAATTAAAAGAAACACAAAGTCTAGAGTTTAGATGTGTGTTAGCAAGATGCCAAGGAGAAAAGAGCTTCACCAACCAATGCTCACACTAATGAAATCACCTCAAAAGCCACATCTCAGATTTTTACAGGATTCCAATTTCATGTTAAATTTTAGAAACAAGAGAGAAATTAGAAGCCAAACGTACAAGAGAGATTTCTTTTCGGAATGAATGTGGCGAGAAGCCTGGAAAAATCTCTCCATAAGAGCGCAAAGGGTCTGAATTAGAGATGTTTGTCCACATTTCACAGCATCGTGTTTGGGAATGTGGAGGCAGGTTGTGGAGAGACAAGCAGCCAAGTCAGACGAGGAAGATTTTAGCAAGAGCTGTTTTGGTTTTTAATATTTTATACAAGGTTACTGCTACAAAATCACTAGCAGCAAAAAACAGTTCTCCAGTACATTCAAAGAGCACGAGAGTTGTGATGCTCAAACTATCTCACTCAACCAATCACAGGGACCCCTGAATAAGAACAGAAAGACAGTGTGCAGCAATCTGGCCAAAATTCACACCTTGACTTAATTGAAATGCAGTTTAGATAATAAGTTTCCGAAAACCTCAATGAGCATAAACAAGGATGTAAAGGAGAGCGTTCTAAAACTCCTGGAGACGGGAAAAGTCACACTGACAAAAACTAGTTTGAGTGAGAGCTGCTGAAGGTGGATCTTCAAGCTGTTGACTCGTTGGTTGTGCTTGTTGTTTTCTGAGAGACATGCAGATTTTGGTGGGAAGCAGAGGCAAAATTAAGATTCTGGCTACTGGGTGGAAATGACTTAACAGCTGCTGCCCCCTAGGAAAGGTCAGAGAATGTGTCTGCGTGTGTGTTTGTCAGTGTGTGTGTGTGCGTGTGTGTGTGTGTGTTTTGTTTTGTTTTCATCTCATGATTGGGTCCAAAACCTGACAGGAAACAATTTATGTTTGATTTTCTGTGAAAATGACCCTTTATAAATCCAAAATGACATTTTTCACAAGTGAAGGTTTGTTGCTAAGAGCCACATCTGTAACTCCTTTTGGATTTGGGGTCAAAGTTCAAGTGTTATTTGAACTTTTGAGATGCTAATTATCTGCTCCTAGCTTGTGGTATTTAGATTTTTTTCGGATTAGTTTAGTTTATTCTGCTTTAGCTTAGCGTATTTGGTGCTGTCTTGGCTTCACTTATTTTTTTTTTCTTAGCAGTCCAGCAGTCGTGCTGGAAGCAGTGAGGGCTCGATTCAGTCCGGCGGCTTACCTTTTTTTTTTTTTTTTATCTTATTTTATCTTAGCCTGGCCTATTTTGTTTTAGCTTATTTTGCATCATTTATGTAGTATTACATTATATTAACTTATTTTTGTAGATTATTTTGATTTAAATGAGCTTTTCCTATCTTTTTGATTTGTTTTAGCTGAGCTCAGATGAATTTGTCCTGTTTTTAGATTCCCTGTTTTTTTCTGCTTATACTCACTTGAGAAAACTATTTCTCTACTGGATGTATGAAGAACTGGACATTTCATACTTGTTTGTGTCAGACAGGAAAACGGTTCTGCCCTGAATTTGTGTTAAACACAATCTATAAGAACTGGAGTTGCCTAAACAGAAGGACTTAAATCCTGAATAATGTGGCCACATAAATTGGCAACCTATAAAAAGAGCATAAATTATTACAATCTTATATTTTTGTTGCCAATTTTGATAACATCTAAATAATAGTAATACCCAAACTGTTAAAGCGAATTCAGAAAGCATTTCTGGAACCACTTAAGTTCTCTAAGTTGATTGAAAGCTTGATTTGTTTTTATTTTTAAATCAACCTTTGCATCCTAAAAAAATTACCAGAGCATCCACTGCTAGAGGACTTGCATCTGAAGCACATCCCATCTCCCCGGCCGTCTTCTGCTCTTTGGTTAGATGTGACTGGAAGAGCTTCAGAGCAACATTAAAAAGTCAGGCGCTCTCCCACTGAGTGGGATTGCAGGTCATCAGAGTAAGAACATACTGAGATGTAACGGAGTTAAAGTGGAGCAGGCAGCAGCAGGTCATCGAACTGGGACACGGCTCTGCTGCGAAACCGCTCCGACATTTCTGCAACACGTTGCTCATGACTGCATAAGTCCAGCACTGTGTGAATCACAACACAAACCCGCTGTCATGACACCTCCATTATGATCTACTGTAGTCTAGAATATTGATAAAAATAATAAAAAAATACGCTACGGAGTTATATTCACAATTAGCGCCACAGGAAATGATGTAGCAATCGTTCTGTGTTGCTCATTCCTTCAATGAAATTTCTGTGTGTGGGATATCGGTGTCAGATAGGAAATCTCACTCTGATACACACACCTTTGTACGTGTGTGTGTGTGTGTGTGTGTGTGTGTGCAGCAGCTGTAATTACATACTGTGTCTCCATATCAGTGTGCAGGCTACAATAACACTGATTAAAGATTAAATCTCTACACACACACAGGGAGCCAGACTGACTGAATGAGTGTGTTGCTCTCTTTCTGTCTGTCCATTACGAGACGCTCTCTGCCATGAAAAGCTCTTTGGCCTGAACTCGGTGCTCCTCCAGGCCAGATGGAGCGCATTTTGTTTGTAAGGGTGTGTATGTAAGGGCGTGTGTGTGTGACAGTGACCTGGCTAAGCAGCCTATCAGCAGCCAGGTCAGATGACATCACCGCTAACGCACAGATCCGTGCTCCAAGAACGGGCCGTCACCCCCGGGGTTCCTCAATCAATAACGTTCACATAAAATCAGTAAATGAGAACCGTTTTATCGTGCGTCGTTTTAATAATAGTGACCCCCCGCCCCCCAGCCGGCTGTATTTTCAGCTAGGTTTAATTTGAACTCTTTTTCGTAATTGATGTTTTTTGCTGGTTTTGAAAACAGGTTATTTTTGCCTGAAGATTGCAGGGGCTGAACCTCTGAAACACTGAAAAAAGACTGGGAGGGGAGAGATAAGGGATGGTTGTTTGTAATAAAGTTAATCTAAAATAATACAAAGTGGAAAGTAGCCTTTAACTTTATTTTAATATTATTTGCTGATCTAAAATGGTGATCTCAAACTGTATTCCTAGAGGCCTGGAATCCTGCAGCTTGAATTAAATGGTGAAACTGCCTCACTAGCACGCAGTTTTTAACATTTCAGGAGATACTGTGAGATGTTGCTGTTTTAAAATCTTACATTGGAGGTCTGTATGCCTCAACAGGCTCTTATTGTGAAGGCTTTGAGGAAGTTGTGCTATTTTTACTGCTTGTTGAACTGCAAAAAAAGGACTCACTACAGACCGCTCACTGCAATGCTGACAGTCCAGGCTAGTAAGAAGTTAATCAGACAAAGGAGATTATTGTGACGACTGCAAATATCTGGCTAGACGTAAACATAATAGGAAGACAGCCGGAGGATGAGGATTTGTTTATTTCTGCACAGATTGACAAGGCAAACAACCTTAAAAAAAAATCCTTACTTGCACACTAATAAAATGAGATATGCAGCTAAATTTAACACTTTGCATACCTTGGTGGTTGATATGCATTTCATCTTCTGCAGATGCAAAGAGTGTGAGAAACCAGAAAGTGCTTATACTAACTAATGCTACATTTCTACCAGTAATAATTAAAACTAGTCAAGGTGTTGCTAGGATTTGACAAAAAGAAGAAGCACTGTTGCTAATTTTAACATTTGAAAGTGGAACTGAGAAAAAAAAATTCAAACAGAAGTGGTGAGAAAAAGAGAAAAAAAGAGAGAAGCTTTGTCTTAAAATACGGTGCTGCATGTTTCACTGCAACAACGCCGAAAGACGGGATATCATTTGAATTCAGAGCAGCTGATTTCCTAAGAGATGCTAGACGTTTTTGTGGAAAAATCCTAGAACATCCTTCTTAGAAAAGTAAATAAAAGATTCCATCAGTGATAAAGCAAACAGACCTATAGCTGCATTGCATCAATTAGTATTATATTAGTATTATACATTCTCCCCATTCAAAAGAGTCCAGGTTGAGATTTAGAAATAAAAGTCACAGTTATCTAATCAAAACAATTACAAACTTCAGCAACGCATTAGTTATGTGTTTCTTCAAGATTTATGTTTTGCTAATGTAAAAATTATGTCTGCCATTTTAAAATACAAACCTGTTTTGACGTCTGATAGGGAAAAATATTAACAAAAAAAGGCAAATTCTATGAAACTGTCAAATTTGAACTAAAATTACATGACCTTTGAGAGGTCAACATGTAAAAATGCCCAAACTAAGAAAACAAGAAATTAAAAGAACACAGTAATACTACAAAACCAGAAAAAAAATCATATTTACTTGGGTTAGGCCAGAATCACTGTGAAATAATGTAAAATGAAATAAACTTTTCTCTTTAAACACATATTTACTTCCATGTAACCACTAGGGGGCAGCAGGAACACCACAAATAAACATGCCTGACTAACACACACACACACACACACACACACACACACACACACACACACACACACACACTGAATCATTAATGAGAGAAGTGAATTCCCATGATCCACATCCTCACTACAAATAAAAAGCCTCTCTCACATGAGACCAATAACATTTACAGTATCCCAGCTTCTGTGTCGATCTGATTTCACCAGCCTGTTTTTCTCCTTTATTCTTGTTTCCTTTCCTTTCTGTTTCACCTCCATGCTCTCCCTTTCACCAGAAAACCTCAGAGTTCATGTCTGGAGGCTTGTTTTTTCTTCACACTTTAAAAAGTGTGCTCACATCTTTTGTTTCTTAACAGCCTGTGAGCAAACAGGCTGGCATCAATTAGCTCTCCTTGGCTAATAAAGGTCAGTTTTGCTGCTC